ATATATTTATTATTTTTATTAATTTGACCTTCAGCCATGCCTGGCTAACAATACAGAAGTTACAATGACGCAGCTCATTTATCCAGAAATAATGTTTGTCACATTTGAATCTAGCTTGGGCTGTTATATCACTCTGCTGCTCTTGTGAATCAGTCGAACATTCACAGATACCAGACAAACATTTTGGTTGTTACTCAAGTACTAGTAGCATCTGGTAACTTGACTTCTAAGCTTTGGGGGATACGGGGAGAAGGAAACCTTTGATTCAATTTTAAATTTTAAATACTTTATTTGGGCAGTGAAGTTTCAGTGGCCTACTCAGAATTAACTGTGGCCCCCTGATTTTCTGTCATTCAAATGTGGCCCCTTAGAAACGTGGCATGGCCCTATGGCCCTCGTTGAGAACCACTGCTCTGGAACACAGCCAAGACAGGTCACTTTGTAAAGGCCAGTTTTATGTTCTTGGATATGGTAACATGAATATGTGTGCCATGTCATTGCAACTCCTGTAATGTTAGTCAGGCATGGCTGAAAGGTCAATGAATTAGAAATAAATATATATAGATGAATAATGTTATGAGATTTAAGTTATTTAGACTAAAAATTTGTGTTTTCATGTTGTAATTTGTATTCCTTCTAGAATGAAAAAAAAAGCTTAATTTATATCTATTTCCTAATTTCTTATGGTGGGTACGAGGTCAGTCAAATCGACCAAACCTGTACAGAAATAAAATAGTGAAAATAACAGATGAAATATAGTTTTTTCTAAAAAAAAAACATTTGATAATTATCTGGAGGTTATAAAGATTTTGCATATGAAATTTGAAAATTTTCTGATGCATAAAAGTATTTTTAATCTTAGAATCAAAATTACATTGCATGTTGGATAGTCAACATTAGAAAGAAAAAAGGTATGAGAAAATCATTACTTAAGATATCTTAAAACTTAATAAAAAATCCTCTTATTTTCTTTACAAATGCCTCATAATGTTTACTGATAATATAAAAAATTTCATAAATGAAACACTTATAGCATGAAAACTATAACAAGCACAAAATGGTTATGAGGTCGGTCTCTGGGACCAAACCCATAGTGAGCGAGTTAATAAATTTTTCTATGTTTTTTTAACTGCTTTTATAAACCTTTTGTCTCATTCTTGTAATTTCACTCTTAACTTCATATCTCTTTTTTTTCTTGATTTCATTTCAGTTTTCTTTTCTTCTTGCCCTTCTTTCCACTGTTTCATCATTTGCAACAAATTTTTAATCTTGGTTTGATCACACATTGTAACCTTTAGTATAATCTTTATCATCCCCCCCCCCCACATAAAAAACAAACAAAGTATAATTCCAAGTTCAGTCTACTTCATAAAAGGGAATGCATTTTATTTCTTCTCCACAAGTTCAACAAATTCACTTTGCAAGGCATCTCTTTTCACAAATAACATTATTCATTTACTTGCTAACATCTCTCACATCTCTAGAGCTTCATTGATACAAATACAAAATTTACGAAGCTGAAGTAACAGACAACTGACTATTACACTTGCTAAATCAATTATCAACCCAGAAATTTGACTATTGTCTATCTGGCATTCATTTTCTAAATACTTAAGATTATTATAAATATCATTGGCTCATCATATCAAACCTCTCTCTGGTGAACAATATAAATATCTACATTAAAATGTTAAAAACATAGCTACAAAACTATTTTTGTAATTTGAAACAGACTTTGCAGGACTGTTTAATTAAAGAGCTGGAAGACCCACACTAAATTCCTGGAGATCGTTTGGGAATATAGCAGCATTCTAAGCCATCACCCAGTCTCACCCCATGCAGAGTTTGGTTAATGCATCTCTTCATACTGTATCCATGATTAATTGTTCTTACTATATATTAGCTGAAAGTAGGAGACATTTACTATAAGCTGGAATTGTAGCTGTGTCAGGTACATGAATGGTAAATAAGACATTTTTTTAAATTTGGCAGAATAATCAGTTATAAGCATACAAGTAAACTAGTATTTATTATCTTTTTGCACATATTCATTCTCCTTGCATATGAATAACTGAAATCTAAGTATAATAGAAGAAGTATAGAACTTCTGAACTTTTCATAGTTTGCAACTGTGTTTCAAATTTCAAATGGCAGCTGAAGGGAAGGTTGTAAACAAAATAAATGGTTTACAGAAATATTTAAAATATAAATGAAAAGAGATTAGACACAAATAAATTTTGAAATGTTAACAAGCATATTTTGTTGTTTTATATGTATTATTCATGTGAGCTACTAAATGTTTTTGCAACAGATGTACATCAAAAGCAAGGATAGTGTGAACACAGCATATTCAAACCTTAGATGAAGTATAGTTATAATTAATTTTCTGGGGAAGAAATACAGCTATAAAATAAACAATCAACCAAGGCACAATCTGTAAAGTGAATAATTATTTTCGTGAAGAAGAATAGTCAACTATTTGAAAGCTTTTGAATTTTGGGTCTCGTTTTGAAAATAATACATTATATAATGTGACCTGGTTTTTGAGGTACCGATGGAAGTAATATCCAAATTGTGTTGGGGATACCTCATCTACCCAAATTACCTCAATTTCAAGATTAAACTTTATGGACAGTTTTATTGTCTCCCCATTGATATATAGTACTCTTATTTATTTTACTCATTTTTATATTTCATATTTTGTAAAATAAGTGCAATAAGAAAGCAACCACCTTCCCACTTCTGGCTGCAGACAGCAAGAAATAGTGAATATGTGGGACATTGTGGGCTTGAACACCCAATCTTCTCCTTTTTTATCTTCCTTCTTTTTCTTTTTTTAAGCATCTGAGGCTGGCAAAATTGAGGTTAAACTGGCCAGACGAGGTACACCCACTGCAATTTGGGTCTTACTTCTGCCAGTACCTCAGAAATCAGTTCTCATTACATAATGACCCACCTTATGGTTTGTGCATTTAAACTGTTCTGAAATAAAAGATATAAACTAAAGTGAGTCAGTTTTAATAAATCTGAAGTTAAGCCTTTAAGAGCTTCATTTCAAACTACACAAGAAACATTTTTTCTTTTTGCTATGAGTTTGGATGCCTTCATACTCTCATGCATACCTGATTATATGCCTGAAATACAGGTTGGATTAGGCCATTATTTGCAGGTTAAAAGTTTGGAACCAAAGTTGAAGTTTAGATATTTTTTTTTACTTTTGCATTATACATTAAGTTATTAAACAAAAGTATTGTTTGTTCATTTTTTACCTGTTTTGTTAAATGTTTTTTACAAATAGTTAACTGAGTCATAATGCATTTTTGTATCTGTAAATGTTGAACTGATCTTGCTGTGTATTATTTATCACCTAAGCTCTCATTTTACAAGTTTATTTATCAATAAATTAATCATAGATCTGCACGTTTAGTTTTTAAGGTTCCAGGAGTTTTTTTTTTAATAGTTTCTATGCATTATAGTAAAATAATGTAGGGTACACTTTATTTTATAATCCTATAATCTTACAGTTTTATAATTCTATAACCTCACAGTTGTAAACAGGAAAGGGTTCACACTTCGGAACATCTGTATCCTGCTCATGTACCTGAGTCGTACAACTCTCCAGTGGCTACTAAGTTAAGAGTAAGTTTCCCTATTTATCATAGTGGTATGAGATAGGAAACAACAATGTTGTTATAACTGTACATTGAGCCAAACATGCAACTATTTTTGTAGGGTTTTTTTTGTTTTGTTTTTTTCTATAATGAGCCGTAAATATCTTTTTGACCTCTTGTTATCATTCTAAATTGTTTGAGCATAATTCATGTTAGCCACAAAAACAAATACGTTGTCTTATCATTCTAAGTGAGTAGAATTGAAATAACAAATATGCACACTCAGTTAGATTTAACCAGCAACAAGTTTTTTAAACTGCTGCTTAGTAAAAACATTTTGCAAAACTTAATTTAATTTTATATTGAGGATATATCACTCTAAAAAGATATACATATCTTAAAGAATATGCCAACACAATTTTATCATCCACTGATTTTTTTTGGCAAATATAAGAAGATCATTTCTACAATAGATATGTGATCTCCATCTCCTAAATAAAAGTATTTGATTTCTCTATATTTTACCTTGTTACCTTTTTAAGGCTTTCTCCAACAGATACACTAATGAAAATTGGAGTAAAATTTATTCTAATATTTAGTAGTGTATTTGTAGATCATTAATAAATATTAATCTAATAAATAGTGGTCCTGCTTACATTTTCTGTCGAAATTGTGTAATGAAAAAATCTAGAATACTAGTTAAAAGTAAAGTTAGGATTTTTAGGAAGCAAGTTTTGAGGAGAAAAAAAGCAAAATAAATATCAAACTGGAATTGTCAGGGTGTGAAATTCAGATTTCAAATGTTACATTCCTGTACTACTAACATTCCTGTGAAAATAAGTTTGTGATATCATGTAATTTAGTTTTATATATTAAGATTATGTCTAGCAGCTCAAAATGTTGTCCAAAAACCTGCTAGACAGATGTAATCCATTACACCATCTTTCAGATATATCTTCTTCTGTCTAAACCTTCTCTCAAGTGAGAAGCCTGAACCTAAATCTTGAGAGATTGTTATTGTAATGTTTTAAAAGCCAGCAGTTAAACTTACTTACTAATATTTACAGTATTATGCTAAAAGATTTTCAATATTTAAATGCATATATCAATCTTGTAAATTGATATACCCAAAACACAGAGGTGGAAAAAATGCTTTAATGGTGAAGTTCTCATGCTAACTTATTACTGGGGTCACCAATCTATTAGTATAATAACTTCATCATTAAAGCCAATATCAGCATGAAATTTAGCACACTTGTTGATATTACACTCTTCCAAAGCTTGAATTTTTTTAAATTCAAAATTTTCTTACCAAATGTCTTGTTATGAGTGTAATTACTACCAATGAAGGCATTAATTAAAATTAATGCTCATTAACATTGCAGGAAATTTGTAAAGTTTTTAATTCACAAAGAGCATGTTTATTAATTTTCACATGTTTTTAATCATTGCTAAATAAAATTATGACGTTACAACAGTTTGTTATGTATTTCTTTATCCATGCTGCATTAATTATGCTGACTGAAAATGTACTTTCAGAGATTGCAACATCATACTTTTGTTTTGTGCTGAACTTGAAGGTTATAAGAAGTGGTTAACAGTGTTTCCTCAGCATGTAAATTTGCCCAGTTTTAAGGTTCCTTGTTTATTCTCAGCATTTTCTCTTTTCAGTGTGTGAAAGGATCATGGCTTCTTACAAAATAATTAAATGCAGCAATTAAAAATTTATTGGAATTCTTCATTTTTTCAGGAAATAAAAAATATTTCTTCTGTATTTTAAATTTGAAGAGATTACCTTGTCATAAATGTCAAATGACATGCAAAGTTAGATTAAACTGGATTACCACAAAAAAGTAGTGCCTAACTAATGGTTTATCCAATGACTCTGAAATAAGGTCTGAAGACAGGCTTTGTTTGTGAGAGAGGAAGAAAGTAATAGTTTTGAATTATTTTAAAAGTATCTTACTAGCAATTTCTAGTGGTTTTAATGCTTTATTTCATTGGTGGAGCACTCATTTTTAATGCAAGCAGTCCCAAGTCCAAATCTTGTATGTGGGAGACACAAAGAAATGAAATTATCACAGATAAACCTCTATTCTTATTCTATTCTAGCTGCCTTCCCTCTAGTCTTACACTGCTAAATTAGGGACGGCTAGCACAGACAGCCCTCGTGTAGCTTTGCACGAAATTCAAAAAACAAAACAAACAAACTATATTTACCAGAATGATAGTGTCATTAATGAAATACATTTTTACAAAAATCATAAAAGTAATTACTTCAAAAAACTTGTATTGAGTTAAACTGTAAATGGCAATTATGTTGTAATTCAACCTTTTGGCTTGATATTTATGTCTGCTAATGCTTTTAGTTCCTTCTTTTGGATGGAACGTTTTTGATAACAGTGAACATTACAAATATCAGCTACCTAAAATATCTTTTGCATGATGCTTCCTAACAATTGATTAAAAGCAATACCTTAATAACTTTGACTAACTTATAAAAAGATAATGGAAATTCAAAAATGTAAGTTATTTATGTTGTTTTATAGTATTTAACATTGATCACGTGTTCATGAATCAAATATTATTGGTACAAAATCTCTGAACCTGTCTTCTATCAATGCTGCTGAATTTTATATCATATTTTTCTCCTTTTTGTGTCAAATGCTATGATACTTCTATTGAAAAAAAAATTTATACAGAAGTTACTTCCTTGCACTGGTATTTGTCTTTAGCTTATGATGTATTTTTTGTTGTTTTTTTTTACTGTAGATTGTGATTTTTGTCATTGTAAGTTGAGTAGTTTCTACATTTTGTTTTAGTACACATATCTAGTTTGTGCAGTAAAGAAAATGAAACAGAGAATTGTGTTTCTTTCTAGAAACCTCCTTACATGCAACCCAAAGATTTCAGCACAGAATTTGAAGGTAGTGCTGAACGACTCAAACAGATATTCAACCGTGTAAGGAAAAATCAACAGTCTGAAAATAAACAAACTGAAATTGGAACTGATATTTTAGTTGCAAAAACTCCTTCACCCATTTCATTGGAGTCGACTGTGGTAGGTTTAATAGCAATATTAACTTTTTTTAACAGTAACAGTACATGTAGTATTCCCAACATTTTTTTTTTAATTCTTGAACCACAGTTATATAGTGTGTTTACCTAATTGCACAGTAAAAGTAGTTATATTCTTCAAATATCTCCGTTTAGACCATAATAATGGGTATATTTGGTGTGCATATTTATTTAGGTTATAAAAGAGGTATTATTGTTTGCAACATGATCATAATGCTATATCAAGTGTAAAGGAGTTCTAATTCTGTTTACCTTTACAAAAATATATCTGATCACATTACCTCTAGCCATTCACATGACCTATAACTACACAGGTTAAAAGTCTTGACCCTGTTATTGTAATTCAGTTGAAGTGTGGGTGTTACTTAAAATTTATTCCTTTTAGGAGAATTACAGTTTTCCTTTTCCATGATTATAAAAACATGTAAGGCACCAAATTGTATTGTTTCAAAGAAAGATATGTCTGTAATGTTGAACCTATTGGGTAAAGTAAGGAAAATTGTGATTCCTGGAAGCAAAAAAAAAGCTACACCATGCTATACCAGTTGCGTACCAGAAATAGTGAAGAAAATGTAAAACAACTTTCCACCAGTAGTAATCCAAGAACACTGTGGTCTGATTCAGCTAAAGTAGAAATATTCTTGAGGTATGTAAGGGAAGTAATTCACATGGATTTATGTCTACAAAATTGATGCAAGAGCCTAGTTTAGAGTGGACAAAGTGTATTTCTGCTTAATGTCTGCAACAACAACCAGCCAATGTATTATTATCCTACTCATGATACAGTATGTTTGATATGGTATTGAGAAGGTAATGAATACTTTTCAAGGAGATTATTTTAGTTACAAGTTAGAACTATAATTGTAAGTTAAATATCCAGAGAGTTGAAAAAATGCTTAAATGAACTGTACATATTTCCAGGTTGACAAGCTGAGTTTTGACACTGCTATGTCATGATAAAATGCCAATAAGATATGATTCCATCAAAACAAAAAATAAAGTCTAGTCAACATTCCAGTTACTTTGCAAGATGGAAGTACAAACAAAATTATTACTAAGACTTTCACAGACATCTCCCAAAAAATGAGTCCTTGAAAGTTACCTTTCGTGCATGGATGATGAACTTTTGAAAGCATGTATTGCACAAAAGCTTCCTGCAGTGAAAACAATGCTAAATAGCTATAACTAATATCATAACAAAGATACCATCAGTGGTGGAAGAAGATGCTATAAGACCTAGCTCTCATCCTTGTATCTTCACCATAATTCATAGACACCCCTCATATATTTAGGATTTTTTCTGTCATTAAATATGGCAGGTTTATTTTTTTTGCAGCATGTAATCATTTATCATTATAATATTAACCCTATAGAGACAGGTTTTACTACAGGTAGAGATCAGAGGGCATGTCATCACATTTGTAGACTTAAGTTCAAAATTTAATTGAACTACTATATTATAATACACAATACAATGTCCATAGTTTCTTATGAACTAGAAACTCAAATTTCTGATTTTGGCAAGCCAGAATATAAAATAAGAACTTCCTATCTTTTGTATTTGCTGAGACATCATAATATTTAGCAACTCCACCATATTGTCTCTGCTCACCACTTAATTGTTTGAAAAGACTTATTTATCTTTGCCTATTTTTTCTATACCTAGAAGTTTATAACCAATCAAAAGATCTACAATTTCTCTATGTAATTCTGTTAGTCTTCCAAAGTTATATATATGAGAGAAAAGTTCTCATATTGTTGGAGATTTTGAAGTATTATGATCAATGCCATGTTCCAAACAGAAATTATTTTTTTGACCCAAATGCACCATAGTTAGGAAGTTTGGTAAGTTACAATGGATTTTTGTGGTATTGGTATAATCATTTATAATTTTTTGGTATTCCAAAATGCATATATAAAGTTTACATAAATTATTTTTTTATATTTTTTATTATTTTTATTTTATTTTATTATATTATTTATTATTTTTTTATATAAAAATATATATTTTTTTCATATTATGTTTGTATAACAAGTTTTATGTTTAATCTAAAACCCATTTGTTGTATACTTAAAATGGGTTTTATAATTTAATGTGGATCTCTGAAATTTGTTTCTAATTTATTCATTACAGCAAGTTGAATCAGATTGTACTTCTGTTATAACATCAAACAAAACCAATGTGCCATTTAATCAAAAATTGCATGGTTAGTAAGTATACATTATTTCATTAATTGTTTTTAATTACTTTCTTATTTGAATCTTCAGGTTGAATCAAGGTTGTTGAAAGTTAGCCTTTCATTAAGCTACCTTAGTAAATAATAGAAGTAGCTGTAAAAATTGTTGGCTCTTAGTTTAAGTTATATATAGGCTTAGTAAATCCTCCCTCTGAATCCAGTATTTTTGTTCATAAAATAAAAAATGCTCATGGCCAAGACTGCTAAAAACTAAATAGAATTTTTCAGTTTTGGCAAAACCTTTTAAACTGTCCCATTGTGGGACAGGAATATCCTACTGTTACTGGTAGTAGAAGGTATATGTGTATTAAGTTCTGGTCAGTAGCTTGTTACGTAAGTCAGAACTAAAGAATAATGTGTCAACTAGTGAAGCCAACTGACTACAGAACTTAATGTCGTAAATCAATACAATAAAAAAAACTGTAATTATTCAAATAATTAAATCTTCAGTTGAGTATCCTTGCTTTTAGTGGTATTTTCTTGTATATATATTTTGGTGTATTTTAGATGGTATTTTACATATATATATTTTTTAACAGAAGAAACTACTTTTCATGTCAAGACACTAACACCTAAAACTGGAAAAAAACTTACTGCTCATGCTTCACAGTCCAATGCAGCAACTCAAAGGAAGAGGAAACTTTTCTCATGCACAAAAACAAATAATCAAAATGATGTTGTTGAAGCTATTACCCCAGATACATACACAGATATCAAGACTATGGAAAATCATACAAATGAAAAAACTTATTCCAGAAAACTGACCACTGCGAAAGCTAAAAATACACAAACCTTGAGAAAAGAAAGCCAAGGTCAAAACATAAAAAAGAACCACAATGCTTTTGATATTTTAAAAAGCAGTAGTTCTGATTCAGATGTTAATAAAATGACTGGTGTAAATACTAAAAGGCGACGAGTGAATAAGCTATCTTTGGACATTTTAACGACTGACTCCAGTTTTTCATCTGAAAAATCAGTTCCTTCTTGTTTGAAAAATAACTGTTCTGAAGAAGCATCTTTAGCATCTTCACGACCCAGTCTTGAGGACTTCAAAGTTAAGAAAACTGGACAAAAGAAAAGAAGAAAAAAAAACAGAAATTTAAAAAGAAATGAAGATCACATTCACATTTCTCCATCTTCAGATACTTCCCTACTTACAAGCAAAACAACAGATCTTGTGAACAGAACTCTTGTGATGACAAGTGTCAAACTGAGGTATGATTGTAGTATGCAACAGAAAAATAGTTTAAGATGTTAAATTTATAAATTCATTAAAATTTTTGATTGTTAAAGATGTATTAGTATATGTTTCAAAGGCATTGTGTAAACTTTTAAAAAGCTTTATATTTTTTGTACTTTACTAACATTTATGGTTTTTGTATGTTTGTATACTTTAGTGTAAACATCTCTTCTCAACTTCCAGCTCTATGACTGTAAAGGAAAATTAAATGTTTTATGAAAGATAATCCTGTAATTTCAACTAGAGTTTTATCTTTAAAATAATATTTTAGTTTAGGCTTGATTTGATGAAATTTTCAAAAATTAATCTGCTATACTTTATTTTTTAGTCATTTACTCCACATAAGTGTTGTTTTGTATTCTCATTAATTTGCAAAAACTTGTAGTTTATAAATGTATCTTGTGTTAGTGACCAAGAAGCCATTTATGCCATTGCCACGAAGTTGGGAGGGTTTGTAATTCGGAGCAATGTCGGAGAAGACACCACTCACATCATATGTGGAGAATCTCGACGTACCATTAATATATTGTTTGGCTTAGCACAAGGCTGTTGGATCTTGTCTCCGCAGTGGGTAAGAACTACAATACTTTAATGATTTCGATTTCAAAAATTAAGTTCTATCAACTTCAAGTGCTTAGTCCATAAACTTTTTATTATAGTTTTTTTTTCTTTTGTTATGGTGATGCAGATGTATCAAACATAATGCTGCTATAAATTTTATAATTAAGTGGTGGGGATAAGGGTCTTAATCAGAAGGTGTATGTATATGCTTTGCACTTGTGTGAAAACCAATACATTGTAAAAAGAAACTGTGTATTTGAATACATTATGCATGTAATTTATTCAGAAACTTTATATACATGATATTTATAGAAAAAGTCAAATGTGTTAAACTTATTATGAATTTGAGTAGCAAAGCATACATTATGTTGGATTTGTTATATTTCTTTTTCTCACATACTTTAAATATATTTATGCTACAACATTTTTTTCCCATTTTTATTGTTGCACAAAGTGTAAGCTATGATGATGTGTATAGTATTTGTTTTTTTTACCTACTGTTTTGAATTGTACAGTATAATTTTGTTTAGTTATATCTGATGTACAAAGCATGCATTATTAGTCCAGTCATTCTAAAGTGTGAATTTAATTCAACGTGAGGTATCTCAACTGTTTTATAATCAGGAATATGTCTCCAGAACATATCAGAAGTTGTAATGAATCGTGTTAGGGGGAAAACACTGTAAAATAAATAAACAAAATGGCCACCATCTATAATACAAATTAAGATACATTTTCATGTAGTACAGTTAAAATGATCTAAAGCTTTTTATTGCATTTTCAGCATGTATAAATTGAATGTAATCAAAATGAAATACATAAGAGATCTCCTTCATGGACCTTTGTTTGAAGATTAAAGTCATTTCCCAGTCTGGAAAGCCATTCAAACTGGTAATGGTGACAATCCAAACTATACATGTAATGAAGATAAAATTTCAGCTTCAGCTAAATTGGCAATGGTGGACAAACAATGTTTTAACAGTCTCAGTAGATACCTGCAAACAAAGAAATGCCAGACTTATCATGCCTAAAGATGCAGATCTCATTGTGCAGACAGCAATAATGTCAGCAACTCTGTGCTCGTAGGCAATGACACAGACCTAATGATCATACTTTATTACCAAACAAGCCTGGAGTTCTATAATTTATTCTTCCAGCCTGACTCAAAGAAAAAATTCCAAAAAAGCATCAAATGTTGAATGGTAAAAGAGCAGCTAGATTTGGAGATTTGCACAAACATCCTATGTACATGATATTCTGGTGTGTGACACTATCTTCCATCCCTACAGAATCTGGAATTGAGCTTCCCCAAAAAAGTTAATCAGCAGTAATGATTTCTGTGAACATACAAAAGTGTTTGACAGAATATCTGCCTATAAGGAGAATATTGCCAGTGCTGGAGAGAAAGCCAGGGTCTGCCTGTACAGTAGCAGGCCCGTAATGTGATTTCACAAAAAGGTTGTTGCCAAGAGTCTATATGTTCAGCCCAGAGCCTTCCTCCTATATCAGCTGCAGCAAAGTACTACCAATTTCAACAGTGGAATGGCTCTGAAAAAAACATGGTACCAGAAAAATTGGGATGGAGAATTAGTGAAGGACAAATTGTCCCTGTGTTGACAATTTTCTACATTTTATCAGGTGCAACTGTCACACTGACTTTAGCAGTTTGTGGTGCACAGAGAGAAAGCACAATTTGCTTTGCTGCATGTGGTTAATGTAAAGGATCTGTATGTACCACTTCAACACAGCTTGCTGGTGGCAAAGACGTGAACTCTTGCTTTGCATGTCAAATAATTGCTGGAATAGAAACCGTGAGGAACTTAGGACCTGGAAGGTTTAATTCTGCATATTGTATTTTGCTTCTGTAAGAGTTGATAAAAATTGTTTAGAGTTATTGTCTTTTCCATTATTATCTATGTTGGAAAGCCTCTACATGCAAAATGGCCTTGTTGTTACAAGAATTCCCTTGAAGGACAAATCCCATACAATTTATTTGCCTTCCATTGGATTTGTTAAAGCTAAACTTTAAACTCTTAGATTATCATTCTACATTTATTGGGTGCAAAATTAGGATGATTTGTATAAAAGGTGATACCTATTTTGTTTTTGTTTTTTGCCACTTAAACAATTGAGATATCTTCTGTTGGAATTAATGATTGGGTTGGCCTTATTTTTTCATAGAATGACTGGAATATATAGTGATGTATTTAGCGCTAGGCAATTAGTGGTACTTGCTAATCAATTCATTGATGGCCTCATTAATTCATTACATTTGATGAATCAATTCTTACAGTGTTCCTCAAACCATGATACTTGCCTCTATTCAACAATTCAAAAAGAAAAAAAAATAGTTGTAGTTGGTATTAGGTGCTGCTAGACATTGCCTTCTCTCTAGTCAGCATTTCTAAGTCAGTGACAGATAGCCTTAACAGCTTTGCCATAATTCAGATATGTGAGCAAGTTTGGTGGCAATATTTCAAGGACTTGGATAATTGGAATTATCCAAAATAGTAATAATGAGAAACACTAATTTTGATTAACCCTATCTAAACAGCATTAGTGCTTTACATCAATTCTATTTCTATGAAGCTGTACATAGCATGGTTCACTATAATTGTAAATTTACTAATTTATCTTTAAGAAATATGGCAAGCTTTTAGTAAACATTACAGTTATGTTGTAACACAAAAATTAGATTTTTTAACAAAGTATTTTTGCTAAAGATTTGT